AAGAATTACGTCAACCAGTTGCTTATATTCCAGCTTATCATAATTGTTATAAGGCAAAATTGGCGCAGAACTATTAGTTGGCCTTGAACCATATATACACACCGGTACAATTAGCGGAACAGAAAAAAAAGTGAGACTATGAGATAATAACGCATATATTTGACGAAAATGTAATTAGACACAAAATAACAAATTGATTAACATCTTTTAACAACGACTTTGAAAAATCTTCGTTATTTTTTATTGAAAAATAAAGAAATTTGAAATAAGTGAAATTTTTAGATGATTATGAACCATCACAAAAAATAAAAAATGTAAGCATTAAATGATTTAACAATAAAATTAAAGCAAAATTAATAACGAGTGTTTCCCCCTCTTGCTCTGATTACGGTTTCCATTCGTCTGGGCATGCTACAGATTATGTTATCGATGATTTCTTGAGGCAACCGCCCCCACTCCTCAAGTAATGCGTTTCCAAGTTCATTCAGATTGTTGGGGGGTGGCATTCTGGATTTAACCCTTCTTTTTAGCAAGTCCCAGACATGCTCTATCGGATTCATATCGGGGGAATTTGCTGGCCACTGCATCACCGGTATAGCTACGTGGCTCAGATATGCCTGTACCGATTGTGCACTATGAGCACGAGCATTATCTTGCATTAGAATAAAGTCGTCATCAATAAATGGGGCAAATGATACAACATGTTCTTCTAAAATGTCTCTGATGTATCGATCTGCTATCATGGTCCCTCCTGTGACTATCACTAACTCCGTGCAAGCTCCCAAACATATCCCTCCCCAAACCGTAATCGAGCCGCCACCATAAGCCACTGTGTGTTCAAAATTAGACTGTATGTGGCGTTCTCCTTTGCGTCTCCATATTCGCTGTCTCCCATCGATCTGTTTTAAAAGAACTCTGCACTCATCAGTAAAGAGAACCTGCTGCCATTCGTTCAAATCCCAATGACGATGTTCTCGCGCATAGCTAAATCGGTTTACGCGGCGGTGACGTCTCTCAAGTTTTGGGCCTTTGGCATGTATATACGACCCTAAACCAACTTCTTCAAATCTCCTGCGAACTGTACGCTCACTTACTCGTACTCCTCGAACGTCTTCCAGTTCATTTCGAGCTTGTACAGCCGTTAATCGCGTATTCCTACGAACTCCAAGTTGTAAAAAACTGTCATCTCGCCTCGATGTACATCTTTTTCTACCTTGACCCCTCCTCCTCACAAGAGAATTAGACGATCTGTATGGCCATTTCTCCTCATTTCATCAGCCCTTCCAGGCATAATAAAGAGCTTTTAATAAACAAAATAGAATAACAAATTTATAAAAAACCATTAAGTGCAATTTTTCAAAAAAAATACAATTACGTAGTTATTACTCGAACAAGTTGAAAAAACGTATTGTTCGGGAAAATAAAACAAATGAATGAAAAAATTGTATGTCATCTAATTTTCTATTTTCAAATTTGACAATAAATTAAAAAAATATCATAACTGGCCAGTTCCTCAAGTAAAAGATTTTAAAATCCTGCTTTTTTTTGTGTTCCGCTAATTGTGCCGGTGTGTATATTATTTAATCGATTGAGTGAAAAGTTATGTTACGTTTAATGTTAATGTTTGCGTTGAAAATGGGTTAGTCAATGGAGCATTACGTTGTGTCGAAGATATAGTATACGAAGAAAATTATAGTCCTACTGATCAAATGCCTCGATGTATAAAGGTTCCATTTGAAAATTATTCTCATTCAACTTATGACAACAAGGGCTGTGTTCCAATATCATCAATATATTAACAATGAAAAGTTGAAATATCAATCAATTGTTCAAGAAAACAATTCCCATTGTAATTAGCTTTGGCTATTGCAATACAAGAGTCACCAGGCCTAAAATTATATAAAGATATTGTAGATATTGGGGAAAAGGAAACATCTATTGGTCTTACATATGAAGCGTTTTCAAGAGCGAATACGTATAAGGATTGGCACTTAACGATTTCCCTTTGATAAACGAAGTAATGTAAAAAAAATAATTAAAAAAAACTGTATTAAAAATTACCTATGTTAGAAAAAGTACGCGAGTCCTCACAAAGCTCAGCTTTTTGCTAGTTTGTATTTACGTTACCAAGGCCACGATTACATTCGTCATCAATTGTCATTTCTATGGCTATTTGTGAAAGCTGACGTGGACACAATTATATAGCGTAGGACAATCGATGGGCAGCGACGACACGTCACACTTGAGCCGCAGTGCGGACCTGTCGCGAGGCGTGATCGAAGTGTCGTGTCAATTTACGTCCTCTGCTGTACATTAATTTAAGCCTAAAAAGTTAAGCGTTAAAACCATAGAAATATACGTTATGAACTAATTATTTAAGTCCTTACCGTGGCCAGAGTCATGTCTTTAGAAAGTTTAGAGCCAGCACTAGTGTACACACTTCGAGCGAATCACGGCGAGGTATCGTGTATCGACATAAAGGGTTCCCTTCTGGCTACGGGCGGTGGCGACGGTGCGCTGCGGCTATGGCAATGGAGTCGGGGAGTTGGGTGGACCGAGGCGGGGGCTGTGTCACGCGCACACCGCTACGGCGTGACAGCAGCCCAGTGGGCGGCCAGCGGTGCGCTGCTGGCGAGTGCCGGCGTCGATGGAGCGGCGAGAGTGTGGTCGCGCACTTTGACGGCCAGACGGGCACTGTTGGCGCCTGG